GATAAGGATGAATCTTAATTTAAAAGGACTGGTTTGCTATTTCCTAGAGTATTAAGTGTCTTTTTGAAAAAAAACGCATAGATGCAGAACCTGCCACACCTGGTTGATGGCACCGGACACGAGGCAAAGCTTGGAAATTGTTGAACATCAGGCTAACTGGAGAATTGCTTATCAGCAGTCAAGCTCACCCGCATGAGGAACCGAAAGCAGCAAGAGGTGACGTGTAATTCAACGAGATAGCCGTAAAAAAATTCAAAAAACTGAGAAATTCGGTATGGGTACACTGCTTATAAGCTGATGATATGCTTGTTAGTCTCGATCTATGTTGACTATCCTATTATTGTACCACTACAAAATCGGTTTTTCTATAAAAGGGGGCAATTAGGTTCCATGTGGGTCATAAGTGGTCGCGCTAGGAAAAACCGGTCTCCCGGGGGCCGGTTGATGGACCGCACGCAAATATGCATTATCGCGTGTGACCCACTTAAGTGACTACACGCAATAATGCAGCCACATCGCGTGCAGTTGGGCAGCCTGGCCGCACGCGAAGATGGTGATCTTCGCAGACCATCTCGGATAGGCGGGCCAGCCTTTCGCATGGGAAGATGCCTTTCGGCCCGCCCGTAAAAATACTTTCTGTATTAGTGTAGGCTACAAGCCCACTATATATATATATATATATAATTGTTGCTAGACATTTATATATGAGATTTTTTTCCATCCTATAATTGTATATACATTTATATACAGTTGCTAGATAGTGACCACCATATAATTGCTACTAGTCTATGAGCTTTAATATACGAAGTTTGGTCTATGAATTTTGGGGTTAACAGAGGCTGAATTACGATTCTCCAAAAGCAAAATCTGATCGAAAGTTAGCTGTAGTAGACTATAAACGCAATATATGCGCAGAGAGTTGCAGACATGCATGCATGAATTTGTGTGGCAGTCTCTGTCGACCGTTGAAGCAAGAGGAATCTTGCCGTTTGTGGCTCGCATCGCCTGAGCACCTGTGCTAATATCTAAATGGAGCCCATCGCCATTGTTTGCTACAGGAAGCTATTAGCAACCTGAAAACTGCTGCTCAATTACCTCGCTCGTTCGATCGTACATGCTCACACATAAACTAAAGACAGATAGACCTGCAGCACCAGAAAGAAAGATTTGTTGGGCCCGAATGCTCGATCGCTGAAATTAGCAAGAGATCACGGGCAGCCATGCCATTGGCTGTGTGGGTCAATCGGATTCTTTCGTCTTTTCTAAATGTTTTATGTTGGTATGCGTCTCGTCAGCGTCTGCATTTGGCCCTACAGCTAGTCGATCCCTGCATGACTACAGTTAAACAACAAGGACAAATAATGGCATTAGTAGGGAGTGTACTATATATATGATAGTACATTAGGGAACTTGGAAATTAAAGTTGACAATTCTGCATAATGCGCTGCACACAGACCGGCCAGGCCTGTTGATGGTGACTGATTTTCGTATGACACGAGCTGATTTTCCCAGGAACACATATGCAGTGTCGGCCAAGAGATTCAGTTAGTTGGCTAGCTTCAGTCTGGTGACTCATGAGTTGTCCTCCAGAGGACAAAATTGGGACTGATACTATATCACTGTCCTAGCTAGCTACAGTATATGCCACGTGGACTTCAATATCATGGCTAAATCAAAGAGATTGAAGTTGGAGCTGCTTGGTCATTTTCTTTAAGCTTAGCAAGGATGATTTTTTTTATGGGTCTCAGTAGTTATAGGATGTTTTTGTTCAAAAAAGTAGTTATAGGGTGCTAGTTGTCGGTGGTGTGTGAATTGGGTAGGGTCTTCATGTGGATTAATTCTAATCTTTTTCCTCTAATTAATCGTGCAGTTGTAACCTGATACTTGTTGGAGCTTCTGCCATTTGCTGGGCTCTATGGTTGAGTAGAAATGGTATAGTTTTTGACAAATCATCATCTACTTCCTATATGCAGGTAATTTTCAGGGCAACACACTGGCTCCGGTTTTGTGCACAGCTACAAAGGTGTGATGATGATGGGGAGTTTCTAAAGGTTGCATGCCGCAAATTGGAGTCGATGGTTATGCAATTTTTTTCCTAATTATGGATGGAGGTTCACAAATAGACTTGAATAAATGTGTTCTCTTTATTTTGGCTAGGTTTCCTCTGCTTTTGTTTGGTGTGTTCTTTTTAATTTGAACTATACTATTTCTTTGAGTGCTACTTTATAATAATTGGTTGTAGCTCGTTTTGAGCAAAGGCCGGGATGTTATATTCTATTATCTAAAAAAAATCGTGCAGTTGTAAAGTTTTAGTACATTGTTTTCTCGTAAATTGGGTTAACTCTAGAAATCCTTACCCTTTTAGAGATTTTCTTTGAAACAAAAAGGATGGACGCTTCAACATCTAAGGCGCTTGCTCACTTGGTTCGGTTGTAACAGCTTGCCCTACAGAACTACGCTCTACGGATCCCATTCCATCTAATATGACATGTAGTCCTACTTACACATAGCATCACACTTACACTTTAGTCATCGTTTCATGTAAAAAGGTTAATCCAGTAAAAAAGCAAGTGTACATAACATTGATAAGCACATTTTAATTGAGACAAGATATCACACACACATACCTGCATAGCCACATAGGTAAATGTCCAATAATACGCTCCAAGTATATAGACATATAGGCAAATGTCCAGAAATATGTCCTCTCCCCTCTTAGGATATGGACGTACGTCAAGTGCCACGCGCAACCACACAGTCGAGCCTAACACATTCGACGAATAGGTCCACTTACATTTTCGTGCTCGTTTCATGTAAAAGAGTTAACCTAAAAGTAGTATATGGTTGGTGGGAGAAGGCTTTATAAATTTGTTTTACTCTTGCTCAACTAGCTATTCAAGGTGTGGTGCTAATCACATGCACACAACACTCATATGCCACAGAATCACATCCTAATTAGGTCAGGATAATGCATCGACTTTAAACTTTGCTGAAAAGGAGGAACACGGCCATGTAAAAGCGAGTGTCACCTTTTCAGAATAACTTCGGAGGAAATATTGTCAAGCTAGCATATATATGAGAAGGTTTAACATTAGAATGTGCTTACGTGTTTATTTTAGATAAGTTTTGTCTCCATTTGATTATTTGCAGTTTTATGGTATGGCAGCCAGGGTTTTCCTACCACATGGTAATTAACCAAGTTTACCATGAGGCTTCGGTAGTGGAAACTCCCGATAGTATCTACTCCCTCTATCCCAAAATCTCTCCATCTCAAAATGTAGGTTTAAATTTTATCGTAAATATAACAACTTAGGACATGTAAAAGACTTTCATCACTTTCATACTACCCCTCCTATCCTTTAGTTTTATTATTATAGTACAAGCCTATATCTACCCAAGTTAAATAATTAAGTCTTTCTACCCCTATTCCCTAATTAATATAAAATTGCTATATTTTCAGAATGAAAGGAGTAGTTTATAGTACAATTAGGTGAGAAAAAAAATCAAAGTTGATATCATATTCTGCAGCCAAATGTAAATTGGAACTTAAAAAAGAAAAATAATTAACAAATGCGCTTCACCGAAAGAGAGCACTATTCATGAAACCCATTTAGGTCCACTTGAGAGGAAAATGTGATTCCTTCATTTTTCAGTGTAGAAAATGTCATGTCAAAATTTTTAGCATGATTACTATATTATTTTACATTTTTCTAGATTTTTCCTATTTTTTCTAAAATTATACAATTTCCTGAATCTTTTCTACTTGTTTTTCTTTGTTTTCTGCAATTTTCATTTCTCTAAATAACATACCGTGGTTACCTCCACTTACCGTATGGTTACCATCCATGCATTACTGTGATGGTCGAGGAATTTTAAAATTTTTGGATTAAAAAAATTAAAGACGAATGTTGCACGATTTTTTGCGGTAGCTAAGGATTGTAACTACTCGTATGTAACAAGATACGGCTATATCCATTCTACAATGCAGGGGCTAGGATAATAATATGTATCCCATCCTCTTGAAAAGTTGATAAAGCTGCAATTGTGCATACGTTTTGGACCAGCAAAACTTTCCTGTGATGGGCTGGCCCTCATACTCTTCGTCCCTTGATTTGTTGGTAGAAGTGTAGAACACACGGGAAGCAGAGCCCAATTCGAGCTATTATTTTTCTGATTTCGTAACATGTTCTATGTTGCATGTGAAAATACATCATCTAATGTACTCCATTCGTCCCACGAAAAATCCATTCCATCCCGAGGTGGATTAATAAAGTGAGAATGACTAAAATGCTCTTAATCATTGAAAAAATAGTAAGAATGATGGGTAAATAAAGGGTATTAAAGGTATAAACTTCTCGTTTTACGTGTTGATGGTAGGTAGAATGGTAGAAGTTGGTTTTTTTGGACAAAATTCAAACTCTAAAAGTTGATTTTTTTTTTTGGTGGAGGGAGTAATAATAGTATTACTTATCTAGGCATGTAACAAGGACATCACTAATCTTGTTTGATCATTACTTTTCACAAATGTTGGTAGATGCCCAATTGCCCATCCATTACATCCAAGTTTGTATTATCTAAAAAATACATCCAAGATTTTATCACGTGATAAAGAGTAGATTTGAGAAAATCATATTTTGTCAGAATTTCATTAGACTACATATTTAAGAGTTTGTATTGTAGAATTTCAGGTTTTGAGCTTAAGTTATCATAAAACTATATGTTTTAAACTATATACAAATCACCCACAATGACAAACGAGTCCTACTTGCACTCACGAGAATTACTAGTTTTTTGATGTCCAACATCCGTATCACGTTTTCGTGTTCTAGGTAAAGTTCACAATCTTTGAGCATCTTATAGCAACATTTCCCTTATAATGTTTTATCACAAACTTCAAGTGTTTTTACATGGAAGACCCACTTGTCAGGTAATGGTGCATGTGAAGGTGTAGCCTAATAAAACATGTAGTTTTACAATAATTTGAGAAAAAAGATGTGTAGTTGTTCAGTACAAAATATTATTAAATCTATAATTTTGCAATAGATTAGACAAAAACATCTGTAGTATTCAGAAATTCGCTCTTAAGTAGAATTATGCAAAATTTACAGGTCGATGCTTCTATACATTTTACAATCTTGGTTTATGTGCCATCTTAACTTTTTAGCTGTGACCTGAAATAATTAAGTCGCAACATTTTTAGCTGACGAATTCGTGCACAACACCATCCACCTCGATCATGCTACATCCGGGCACCTTGCCCACGCCTTCCTCCCTCATCCTCCCCCTCACCGCGGCGCCGCGCCGCGCCTCGCCGCCGCGCGCCAGCGCGCTCGCCGCGAGCACGTACGCGCCGCTGTCGCGCGGGTCGCACCGCACGGCCTCCCTCGCCGCGCGCGCCGCCGCCTCGGCGTCGCCGTGCAGCCGGCACCCGGACAGCAGCGCGCCCCAGACGGCCGCGTCGGGCGCCACCGGCATCGCCGCGATCGCGCCCTCGGCCTCCCGGAGCCTCCCCGCCCTGGCGAGCGCGTCGACGAGGCAGCCGTAGTGCTCGACCCCCGGGACGACGCCGTGCTCGCTCGCCATCGACGCGAGCACCGCCTTCGCCTCGTCGGCCATGCCGGAGTGGCCGTACGCCATCAGGATCGCGATGAAGGTGACGTTGTCGGGGCGTAGGCCGTGAGGCCTCAGCTCGGAGAACAAGGCGGCCGCTTCTCGCCATTGCCCGTGCACTGCGTGCCCAAGCATCATGGAGTTCCAGGACGAGAGCTTGGCCTGGCCCCGCGATCTCGACGCGTCGAACACCTCGCGAGCCTTGCGTATGTCGCCGCACTTGCAGTACATGTCCACCAGGGCGGTGACCACGAGCGCGTTCATGGCGACGTCGTGCTTGTCTATGTAGGCGTGCACCCACGCGCCCTGCTCCAGCGCGCCGAGGCTGGCGCAGCAGCCGAGGACGCTGACGAGCACGTTGGCGTTCGGCTCCACGCCCTCCGCCTGCATCGCCGAGAAGAGCTCCACGGCGTCGTGGCACCTCGAGTCGCGGGAGTAGGCGCTCACCATGGCGCTCCACGTCGCGACGGTCCGGGCCGGCATGCCGTCGAACACCGCCCGCGCCTCGTCGACGCGCCCGGCCCTCGCCAGCGCCACGATCGCGCTGTTGCACGCCACGGCGTCGAACGCCTCGCACCGCGCGAGCAGCGCTATCGCCTCGTCCGCGGCGCCGCGCGACGCGTACATGGCGATCACGGAGTTGCGCACGTACGCGTCCCCGCCGAGGCCGAGTTTGACCACCATGCCGTGGAGCCCGGCCCCGTCGCCGGCGCGGCCGAGGCGCGCGTACGCCGCGAACAGCGACGGGAACGTGCGCCGCTCGGGCGGCGTCGGCGACCCGAGCATGTCGACGAACAGCGCCACGGCCGCGCCGGGCCCCGGGCCGTCGGCCAGCGCGCGTATGGCGGTGTTCCACATGAACGCGTTGGGCCTCGGGTGGTGCCTGACGAGGCGGGCGGCGTAGGCGGCGTCGCGTCCGTCGCCGGCACAGAAGGCGACGGCGCGGCTGGCGGCGATGGGGTCCCTGGCGAGGCCGGACTTGACGAGCGCGGCGTGGAGCTGGCGGAGGTGCGCCATGGAGGCGCATTGCGTGTGCAGGAGGGTGAGGGCCGGGTGGGATGCGAGGAAGGCGGAGATGGAGGCCGACGAGGGGAGGAGAGGACGGCTGCTCGCCGGCGACGGCGACGGCGAGGAGGGAGACGAGCAAGCGCGCGCCATTGCTGTGTAGTTTTGGATAAGGTCCCTTCACTTGTGGCCTATGAGAGTTGAAGAGAGAGAACCAGCTGCTTATTGGGCTGGGCCTCTGTGAGCTGGGCTTCTCTTGAATGGGCCAGAAGAGCTAGTGGAAAGTTAATGCGATCCATGAAAGAGCCAGTTTCTTTCACATCAATGCAGGATTCAGAATTCTTGTCAAGATAGAATCAGCCATCATTCTTCAGAAATGGTGTTCACAAGATTCAGCATGGTAACTAACTGAACAAGGGTAGAAACATCTAAAGAAATGTCAGATAGAACTAACCTCACAGCCTCACAGGGAATATTTTTTTTAGTCAAATGTTGCAGTTGAGAGATCCCATACTTTAACAACAGCAGAAATGCAGCCAATCAAACTAAATGCACAGAAAATTTCAATACGAAGAAACTTGTCGAACAAAGATTAAGCTAACTCATTGCTGCCACTTATGTATTCCACAGTTCTCTTCTCATTCTACTCCACTTTCTGATGCCCATACTCAGTACAGTAAAAGAATTTCCCCCCTCACCTTTAATGACTAATGACATTCATGCTGGGAAGACCAAAAACAATTTACAGTTTGCAGCAATCATTGTCTGCCCTCGGTGTTGCTTGCCAAGAATCACAAAAACCAGCATTTGCATCTGCGCAGATCTTGCGGACCTTCAAACCATCTGTCCCAAGACTGGCAAGCAGGCCCAGTAGTCCTGCGGTAACAGAAAGAAGCGGCATAAGAGTTCTGAGGCAGAGATATTTGGATAAATTTAGAAATAGGATGTTTATGTCGTTACACTGGAAGTAGAGGATCCGCTTTGCTCTCCGCTGTTACCATAAGCCTGGTAAATGTTAACAGTGCAATCAGTAACTAACAGTAAAACCACCACAAAAGATGCTTTTTAAGCAGGAAGACGAGAGCATAAAATGTCTGAAAGTAATATTAGAATTGGTGAAGTTTTCTTCTAGCACGTACTCTTGCAATGCTGCTGACACCTTATCCGTTTTATCAAGCTCTTCAAGTTCCTCCTGCATACAATGAAGTCACACTGAGAACATTTCAGGTTTGGTAGGGATTAGGGAAAGGGAAACCAGAAACATTTTAAAGGAAAAAAGGATCATTCTTTCATGCTGTACAGAATTCTATATCTGAAGAAGAAAAAGGAATCCCTGCCAGCTCTACAGATAATTGTGTAAGAATGGAGAAGGAACAAATCTAGTCCATATCAGCACCATTGAGAAATTTAAAATGATTTAATTTGGAAATGTGTGCCTTATTCTGCTATGCAAGTAGCTTTCGCGTTGCATTCATATAATGTGCAGCTAATACACAAGTTGGGGCTGTTCGAAATAAATTTGTCAGAATTCTACACAGATGAAATAGATTGGCCACACACTCCACCTTTGCACTGCAATCCAATCTATTCCAAAATGCAATCAGAGCAGCCTAAAACAGCAAACTGTATATAGGTTTAACATAAATGACAAAATATCGAGATTTAACAATCAAAATGAAAATGATTAACAACAAGGATTCCTAACAAGTGAACTTTTAGTAATAGTATTATTAGCCATAGTTCTTAGGTGATGAAAACCAAAGGTTTCTACTTGGTTATGTGAAGAAAGCTTGTAGTCCAATGCAGGTATCATGTGGGACCTCCAGTCTGCTAGGCACAAGGAGGCAGCAAACTCTACTAAGAATAAGTTGTATCTGATTAGGAGTCCTTTAAATTTGGAATTGTTTAGATAGTTAGTTAGGGATAACTTGAGTTGCATTCAACTTATTATAGATAAGTTGTGTACTTGTGTTAGTTCACATTGTTCTGAGGAGTCACGCCAGCCCTAAAGGCAAGTAATAAAATAATCTAATTCCACTATTCTCTTTCTTCCATTCCAGCCTCCTTGGCACTCCACCCGACCACAGCAGCGCAGCCACACCATCGAGATCCAGGGCCACATCCAATTACTTCACATGATTATGCACTTCATCAAATCCCTCCCATAAACATGCCTGCCCATGACAGCATGTCATCTTCATGTGATCCAAATGTCTATGATTTTGGTTTTACTTTCAGTGCGAGGAGCCTCAGGTGTGTCTGTTAGTGTGAGCCATACTTACTGATAAAAAGATTGGCAGTTGAGTTAACCAGTGAACGCACTTTAGTTCATTTTCTTCAAATATAAATGCATAAATTTGACGATAAATTAGGAGGCCAGTGAACCATCAATTCTATGAAGTGGGTTAGTAGGCTAAGACCCACTAAATTACGTGCCCCAGCCATACTTTGGAGCGCATGGCCATGGTCCATGGATCTCGATACACATGGACAACAGGTTTTATGATCATTGGGAATTTTCTTTTTCTTATGCTTGTTACCACTTCTTTTTATCAATGTGATTGTATATCACAAGTTTGCAATAAGTGTGGCTATGTATACCCCTGATATAGAGACCGAGTGAGATTCTTCCATTATCTAAAGAAAGGTGATAAACACCCATTAGTCCTTGGTAGTTTTATTTTCTAGTTACTTTATTTACTCAGTTGAGTATGGTAAACTCACAGTACATGACTTCAAAGGTCACTTTCCCATCTGAGTATGTGACAGATCCGATGTTGACAGAAGAAAGAAGAAAACTTCCTCCAATGAGAAGGAATGAGAACTACAGTGTGATACTGTACCAATTGCAACAGGATTTACTACAAAAACGAAAATGAAATTCTATTGTGTGGTTCATTAAATTGATTCTATTTGTTCACTGTTGTTATTTCAAGACAGACTACAGTACGATGTTGACAACATCATTTACCACCCAAAAAAAAACTCTAAAATGAAGTTCTATTGTGTGGTTCATTAAATTGATTCTATTTGTTCACTGTTGTTATTTCAAGACAGACTACAGTACGATGTTGACAACAGCATTTACCACAAAAGAAGAACTACATTTGCATTACGACTTACTTGTATCCTCTGAAACTGGTACCCATGTGCATAATGAAGAGATTTAACACAAAATACTAAAACAGTTTTATAGAACAAACAGATAAACATTCTTCTAGAATGATTGTTCTCCTTTCTCTTCACAATCTTGATTCCTCAATAGTGAGTACAGAGCATATGATAGTATTCATTTGGCGTCTAATTCTAAGAACTTACAAATTAAGCATTTTGAGTGATGCACATAACTAAAATGGTTAGCTGATTACTCAAAGAACATACAGACAAGTTCCTTTTTATTTGTTGATAGAGCAAGGATATATTGCAGATGTCATTTTTGCAAAGGGGCAATCATGTCAGAATGCCCCTTACACATCATAAGTACTGTAAAATAACACAAAAACAGATAGAACTATCAAGTAACAGAAAATAACTATGTCAACAAAAATTAGTGAATTCATAGCGGTACTTTCCTGTACCAGCAGTGAACAAATTGGCTAGCGAGTCATGCTAAGGTTTCGCAGCAATCAATTTCATTTACCATTTCATAAATCCTAGTGTTATTTTAGAGTTTAGGAGAACCATTTATTCAGCAAGCCTTTTGATCCAACAAAAAACTAGATTGGATCTCACAAAACAAACCAGAACACATGGCTACCCATTCTAAACAGGTCCCCAGGAAGGGGCATCAGTATTCAGTAGTATCCCTGAAGCAGTCTTCACTCTTGAGTACACTGTCAGTCCCCAATCATTAGATGACACAGAAGAGCACTTTTGTTTCTCTGGGCTCTGGTATAGATCCTTAAAAAAAAAAAGAACTCTACAAACTACAAATAGTCAGGCAGGAAATACTAGAAAAGAAAAGGCCCACAAAAAGGTACGGAAATAAATATTTTTTTGTTTAGGACAAGCAGGCTCTGCACGGCGACCATGCACATGCGCTTGACTTCTCTGCTCCTCTCCCCCCACATTTCCTCACCCATATGGGCCGCCATGGGGATCAAGCAAGTTCGGACAGAAGGCAACAAAAAGAAACCTTGGACAAACATGGCGAGCGCTTCGTGCTCGGTCATATGGGAACATGGGATTGGAATCATTGAACATGATCGAGCCGAGCGAAATGTTAGGCAAAAAAGCATAGCATGCATTTTCGTTAATTTCGAGGCGGAATATGCGGCACCTTTGCAGAGGAGAATTGAAATGCTCTCCTCCATTAATTTCACACCAAATAATCCCCATAACAGAAAGTCCTAAAGAAACTATTTTTCTTTCCTTTTTCCCCCTTTTTTGCTATATACTCCTAGATGAAATCTAACCTTTAATACTGCAAGAATTCTGGAACCAAATTTGGGAAGAAGACCGGTAATGCTAGTCGACCAAGAAACAAGGGAGGAAGAGGAGAGAGAGAGGGAGACGGACCTCGAGAAAGCGCGCCTCTTGCTCGAGCTTCTTGAGCTCCGCCTGGATCCGGTGCCGCCCCCGCGTGTCCCCGGCGTCCCCTCCTCCTCCGGCCTGCATCACCGCCGTTCGATCCGGTGCGGGTGCGGTGGTGCGGGTGGGTTGGGCAGAGCAGCAAAAGACGAGAGAGGAGAGAAGTGGAGGTGGAGTTGTCACGGACGGAGGGCGGGGTGGCGACGGAAAAGGTTGGTTTTTTTTTCTTTTGGCTCTGTCTCTGTCTCTCTCGCTGTGGTTTCTGAATGATGGACGACGGGAGTACGGGACGGATCTTCTGCCTGCAACTTTCAGACTTGGGAGTACAGGTTTTCAGTTTCAGTTTCAGGTTCAGGTTCAGTCGAGCGAGACGCTGCATGTGTCTTATACTTTTCCCATTGTCTCTTTCTTTGGCCCCGTCATTTCGGTTATTTTTATGTTTGTAAAATCAAATTTTAATTTTTATAACTTAATTTTAGAGTGACAAAATCCAGTAAGATATACTCCCTCTGTCCTACGAATAACCAACCTAGTACCGGATGTGACACATCCTAGTACAACAAATATGAATATGTCACATCTAGTACTGATTTTTTTTTGACGAAGGGAGTAGTAGGACATTGATTTTGCAAACAAGTAGTTTATATTTAATTTATGTTTTTTAATCGTAGTTTGTTTCATAATATTTGCTTCTGAGTCACTAAAGACACGTATATAAAAACCTTACTTAGGAATTTACATTTTTAAGTTGCTAATAATTTGTATGGATAAACCTAAGTATGTGTGAAACGATGGGACTGTTGATCTTCGTTTGCGTTCGTTTTTCTTTTCTTTTACTCGTTTGGCTCTTCCGTAAATACATGTTTTATATTATTTTTTTTGCTGACGTAAACAAAATACATTTATCTCATGTATATGTTTTTTTAACTTCGCCATGGGTGTCATGACTCATGAGCCAGTCCATGAGTCCATCGATCCACTGCTTTGATCAAGAGCTAGATGCGGCAACATTTCATCAAAGTCATAATCCACGAGCATAACGATCATGACATCAAGCAAATTTTCTACCAGGTACTCCTGTCGTATCGGATATATGATGTTTTTATTAGATAACAATAGGTGAACAATGAATCCGATCAATTTTATTGATCTCAATATGTCCTCTTTTACAGTGTATGTATACATGATGCCTAGGATTCTCCTAGGATTTAGGGGAGATTTAAGCCTCTGAATGTGGCTATTTATATGTCACAAATGCTCCTTAAAATGACTTTTACAAGATTGATGATTCACTTGATTGCTGCAATTGCTGCCCTTTGATAAGATCAAATATGACCTAATGATGCTTTTGTAACACTCCTCATTTTTATCGAGTCCATCTTGAGACCAACTTGTTCTTTAGTTCCTTTGAAAAACCCTGTGGGAAAAAAATAGAAATAATGTGATTGGTGATTACTCTATCAGAAATATGTAATGTTTAAGGGGTAATCCATGCCTTGTTTTATGTCTAGAAAAATCCCTGTGAGGAAAACATGAGATAAGGCATAAGCTTGTATCTAACATTGTCTCATTAAAAACTTTGTATGAGAAAAACCGGATGGTAAATCTTACATGTTTCTGATAGAGTAATCACTAATCATATTATTCTTATTTATTCACACAAGGTTTTTCTAAGGAATTAAAGAACAAGTTGATCTCAAGATGGACTCGCATCATTAGGCCATATTTGATCTCATCAAAGGGCAACAATGGCAGCAATCAAGTGAATCATCAATCTTGTTACAACCATTTTAAGGAGCATTTGCAACATATAAACAACCACATTTAGAGGCTTAAATCTCCCTTAAATCCTAGGAGAATCCTAGACATGTATACATACAAATCCTCTCTATAAAAGGGGACGTATTGAGATCAATAAAATTGAAGGGATTCATTGTTTCACTGTTCACCTATTGTCCTCTAATAGTTTTGTAAGCATGTATCCTAGGGGGCGAGAATTAATATAGGAACTTTAAAAGAAAGAGTTCAGTTACATATTAAGGGATCCTTCAGGGAAAAAAAAGTAGAGATGAATTTTAATAGATTTGGATCCTATAAGAAAAATAATCCTATGAGGCAATTTATAACAAAGAATTGAGTCCGTGATTCCAGTGAAATGGCAATGTTTCATGGGAATTTTTCTTATGCTCCATCCAAATGGTTATCTATGTAGTTTTTTTTTAAAAAAAAATGCATTCCTTTGGATTCAAGTGTCATTACATTTTAATCATATATATTTTTCGTTTATGCATGTGTTTTGAGAATTCATGTATTCCAAAAGAGCCGTAATACATTACGAAAGAAAGATCTTGAATTGAACTTTTGTTAAGGCATGATTTTCACAAATCACGAAGTATATACGAACAAAATATGTTCATGCATGCATATGTTTAGTATTCATCATTTTTTATGCATGGCATATAGCAACGCTTATCCCTACATAAGCGCATATGATTGAGAGATGATGAAAGGAATCTTGTGCTCTGCATTTGTTTACATGAGATTTGGGCACACGATATATGATGAATGATTGAGCAAAACCTCGCAACATGCCAAGCATGTTCATCTATATATAAAAGAAAAGAAAAGAAAAATGCCAGGCATGTTCATGAGCTTTTCAATATTTGCATGTGATCGAGCTAGGCGCATTAATAAACTACATATGACAAAATGTGATAGGCTTATTGGCATGCACTGTATACACATATAAAAACGCGAGAAAGTGTCGTCTTGTGTTCTGTCTCATCATGCATCACCATGGTCGATGCACTAATTTTGTTCTCGAGATTTAGTATTGTTTTTTGTTTTCTACTCTGTTCTCGGCCAGACACTTGAGTACTAGTACACACCAAGGTGCACGGCTGAATTGAGCTATGAATCTATAGCAAAATTTTCATACCCAATCACTCACAACTAGCCCACGGATATATAAGAAATGCAATTAAAATATTTAAGAATAGAGAGAGAAAATTATATAAAAAGTAGTACCATTATATTTTCGCACTACTACAAAATTCATTTTTCCGTGCGGTCAAAACATATTTTTCTGTGCGAAGGTAACGCCCGTCTGCACCGAAGTGTATGTGAAAATCAACATTTTCGTATGCGGGTGACCTAACCGCACGGGATAACCCGTACTGTTAAATTATACCAACCGCACGGAAAGAAAAAAAGCCCAAAAAAAATCAAAAAATCCCGATCCCGCGGCCGCCGTATCCCGATTCCGATCCGCACGGTGGTTGCGCAGCCGCCGGTCCCGCCGCCACCGCTCCGCCTCCGCCAGCAGTCGTCGTCGTTGTCGTCGCTGTCGTCATGCCGCCGCTCCCGTCGTCGTCGCTGTCGTAGCACAGCCGCCATTCCCCGCCGCAGCCGCTCATGCATGCATGCTGCTACTGCATTTCCTGGGCCTAGCTTCATTTGCTCATGCATGCATGCTGTTACTTGTTGCCTCCGCCGCGAGATGGCGGCGACTCATCCGTCGCGATCTCCGCCGTGACCTTGTCCATGGTCTTCGCCACCATCTGCATTGCGCCACCACCACCCGGCAGCGCCCCGGCTCCGCTTAGGGACAACGCCCTCCGGCTCCGTCTGTTCGCGCCGCCCGAAGACGCTGAGTCGCGCTCCACAAAGGCGGTGATGATGCGGCGCACGGTGTCGACGTTCAGGACGCCGGCTAGAGGGCCGAGAGCTCCGCAGTCGACCACTCAGGCGGCACACCGGGACGCCGCTGCGCCGCATCCACCAGCAGCCGCCGCGCCGCCGCTGTAGCGGCCGCACCGCTGCGCCGCTCGGTCGGGATGGAGGGGGAGGGGAGGAGAGTAAAGGCAGAGAGACGGAGGGGTGGGGTGGAGTAAAGGCAGAGAGAGAATAGAAAGGAAAAGGAAAGAGATAGTGTGAAAATTTTGAAATGGGTGAGAGGGAGAAGAGGGAGAGGTATTTTCTCGTGTAGTCCACTTAATAGACCCGCACGCGAAAATTGAATTTTCCGTGCGGTTCTCTTAAGTCGACCGCATGGGATAATGAGGATTTTCTTGTGCGGTCGTGTTAAGGCGCCCGCATGGGATAATGTATTTTCCCGTGTGGGCGACAGTCCGACGCTGGTCATCTGATTTTTCTAGACGGCGCCACTTACGACCCGTCTAGAAACAAACAGGCCCGACGTCTAGGAAAATGTTTTATGCAGTAGTGTCACTACTACAAAAATAGCTATTGGTGTTGGTTGGGAAATCCCCTTAGATGCCGAAATTCCCAACCAGCACCACGGCGGTGACACAGATTACTCCGAGAGATTGGTACCGGTTTCAAAATCGGCACCTTTGAGGCGTACGCGAGCCAAGAAAACCGCTTGATGCATCGGCTCAAGCTGATGCACCAAGCTGCTCCATGTTGCCCCAAATCCAAATTCAAATCCTCAAATCAAAATTCATCGATTGAATTCACATGATGAGCATACATATAATCAACAACCAAACCATCCACAAATCTAGTTCAGGTCCGCCAGATCTGTGTGCCACCTTGTCATTGCCGATGAATCCGGCATAGGGGATGGGAGACTGGCCGTCGGCTGGGGCGAGGCTGGGCGATGGCCGGGGTGAGGCCGGCCACCGGGGAGAGGCACTGGCCAGGGCGAGGCCGGCCATCAGGAAGAGGCGTCGGCCGGGGGCGCTGGTCAACCGCCGACGCGCCACGCCAAGGTTCGCTAGGACGGAGGCCACGCGGTTGTACATGACCGCCAACGCACGCTCCCGCTTGCACCCGTCGTACCCGTGCGGCTACCTTGGCAACTCCATCTGCCGCGTGTCGGCAGGCCACTCGACGCCGAAGAGAGGCGTTGGCTGCCCGCCGGCTAGGGCAAGGTCAGGCACTGGACGAGGTGAGTCCGGCCACCGAGGAGAGGCGCCTACCGGGGGGAGGCGAGGCCGGCCGCCGATGGAAAGGGAGGGAGGAGATCTGGAGAGGGGGAAGAGAGAGGGAGGAGGAGATCTGGTAAAAGAGAGAGATGTGAGAGGTGGGGAAGGGATAAGGATAAGGATGAGGGAGGGGGAGGGAGTTAAATAACTCTGCGCTTTTTTTTCCCTACGCGCTGGCTCGGTTTTTTCTCACGGCGGCTCGGCTCTTAGTGATAGTTGTCGAATTTTTAGAAAAACCGACACCTATAGTATTGGTGTCGTTTTTTCTTAACAATCGGCATCTATAATTATCCAAAGATGCCGGTTTTTGTCGTTGGCTCCTCCACGCACACTCGGATGGGTGGGAAAGCATTATAGGTGACGGTTTTACCTATTCTGGCACATATAGT